AGACCACGCCAGCGCTTCGTGCCCAGGGGTGCGTCCCGGCAGCCTCCGCTCGCCCCCCGTCGCGCCCGCCAACGTCCCAAAGCCAAGGCGAGACTCCCGGCACACAGCGAGAGCCTCCACATGACTCCAGGGGGACGCTCAGCCCGAAAGTTAGGAAAGTTGAGATTGGGAAAACAAAAACAAGAGGAGCTTGGGGCGTCAGCAAACACCTTGTCCCCCTTCAGCAGCTAAATGCGGGTTTTAGGAAGTGGTTTGAGAGAGGGAAACGCACCCCTCCGCCGTGCGCGACGCCTCCGCAGAGCTGCAGAAGCTGGGGCATACATTCACACCACACAAACAACGCAGAGAGACAGAACCACGTTCTTTCTCCTTTCAAAGGGTAAGTAATATAGCTTGTTTTCTTAAAACCATGCTCTAATTTGATAGATGCGGAAACTGACTCCGACTGTCCTGTAAAAAATGAAAAAGACAAAAAGTAAAAAGAAATTAATACTAATAATCCAGAGGATTAGAGATCAGGGGTTAGTGCATAACCTTTTAATGAGCAAGGTATTTAAAGACTGATGACACAGTATATTTTTATTCTTCAGTAATTTAGTACAGAAGTTCACATTGATTGCTTAAAAGGCCATTCGATTTTATTTCCCATATTTAATTGTTCTTAGTGCCCAATAAATGGTTGACTGGAGAAAGTAAAGGATTATTTTATTCTTTTTGTATCATTAAAAATACTGTCAGCCAAATTCACTCATTCACACGCCCTCTACATGCCCTTCATATTTTCACAAAACCGTGCAGATTATCTGTTTTTCATTACCACAAAACCTGAAACCCCCACAGTGCTCAGGCTCTCGAACCTGAACTAAACCTCTCACAGGTGCATGAACAAAAAGGGGGTATTTTACCATTCCCACGGAGAACTCTGTAAATACAACAAAGAAAAACCATAGGCTTGAACGGTAGGATTTTGTTTTACCTTAAAATTTACATCTTCTATGAAAAGGGGCTCTTGCTAAGTCCTTATGTCTTATCACAGCTTGGATCTCTTTAGATCCTACTCATTGAGCGAGAGCTGCAGGCCCTCAGATCCGGAAAACGTGTATTTAAACACATGGCTTAGTTAGATGCTTAAAGTTCAGCATGTGCCTAAATTAGCTCATCATCTGCTCATCGTTCTCCTTGTCAACAGAGAACAAATATGAAAAACATATGAAAGGTTCTTTCACCTATCAGGTATTTGTTGTATCTCACGACACAGTTAAATTATGGCACTCAGTGAAGGTTGTGACAACTTCTAGGTACAAAGTTATTTTTGTTTTTTCCAAGAATTATCTAGTTATCTGCATGACAGTTGTAACTGCTAGGTTGCTATTTCTGCAACACTGAGACATTGTGGGGATTTGTTGAACCCATCTACATACTTATCATAGAATCATAGAATCATAGAAAGTTTTGGGTTGGAAGGGACCCCTAGAGGTCATCTAGTCCAACCCCCCCGCAGCGAGCAGGGACACCGCTAACTAGATCAGGTTGCTCAGAGCCCTGTCCAACCTGGTCTTGAATGTTTCCAGGGATGGGGCCTCCACCACCTCTCTGGGCAACCCGTTCCAGTGTTTCACAGCCCTCATTGTAAAGAATTTCTTCCTTATATCCAGCCTAAACCTACCCTGTTTTAGTTTAAAACCATTACCCCTCGTCCTGTCGCTGCTGTCTCTACTAAAAAGATTGTCCTCATCTTTCCTATAGGCTCCCTTTAAGTACTGAAAGGCTGCAATCAGGTCTCCACGCAGCCTTCTCTTCTCCAGGCTGAACAGCCCCAACTCCCTCAGCCTTTTCTCATAGGAGAGGTACTCCAGCCCTCTGGTAATTTTTTTGACCCTCCTCTGGACCCTCTCCAACAGGTCCATGTCTTTCACTCCTGTGAAACCCTCCCATCATCTGGCATCATGGTAACTGCAGCAAGACCAACTCCAGGGATGTCTAGATCAAGAAAGAAGCAGATGGAGGATGACACCATAGAATTATAGCTGCTTCGCAAAACATTATATTACGTCTAATTAATTAGTACGTGCGCCTGCGTTAAGTAGTGAATGATCAAATCATGCTGTATCTGAATGCCTGAAAGGTACAAGAACCATGTGCAGAACTGCATTCAGGGTGCCCCGATTTGGATGGGACACCTCATGCGTGTGAATAATAGCATGACTCTTGTAACTCCATCCTCCGCATCCGAGCCTCTCTCCTTGATCGGCACGGGCCAGTTGTGAGGTTTTCGTGACAGTTTCTGCTGCTGCAGCCTGTGTCTGCTGCCTCTCACCGCCCGCTGGGCAGCTCCAGCACGGCCTCCCATGAGGTAGTTGAAGACAGCAGTTAGACTCCTCTTCTTCATGCCGAGCAGACCCAGGTCTCATCATCTCCAGCCGTACATAATCCCTCCAGAAGGCAAAAATTCAGAAAGCATGAGTAACACCTGGGTGAGTGGGTTAATTCCTCTAATGTCTGATTAGGTAGAAACAAAACAGAGAAATGATTTGAGGTCAGCGTACTCCCCATTTGCTTCGCTTTGGTTTGTCTGATCAATGATTTTAATGATTCATGCAATACACCTCTTTGCAGGAGCTGTTATGCACACATCTGCATCTTTATTCAACAACCACAATAATGTCAGGATGTTTATGTCATTGGCAAGCGGACAGAAACTGTTGCAAACCGTGAGCCCTGTTGGATTTTCTTGTCATTCGCTTCTGGCTGGGTCACGGGTGCTTTATCCTGAAGTCACTGTAAACACCCAAAAAATAAAGACAAGAATACTATGAGAAATCAAAAGCTTTTGGTACTGCCTCTCACAGTATCCTTTTGGATAAAAGGTCCAGCACACGGCTAGACAAGTCCATAATACATTGGCTGAGCAATGGGCTGGAGGGTCGGACTCAAAGAGTTTGAGTAAATGGGGTTACATCAGGCTGGTGGCCAGTCACCAGTGGGGTTCCCCAGGGCTCGATTTTAGGCCCAGTGCTCTTTAATGTTTTTATAAATGACCTGGACACAGGAATCAAATGTACATTAAATGAGTTTGCCAATGGTATCAAATTAGGAGGAGCTCTGGACTCCCTTGAGGGTAGCGAGGCCTTACCAAGAGATTGGAGGGACTAGAGAGCTGGGCAATCACCAACCGTATGAAATTTAACAAGAGTAAGTGCCGGGTTCTCCCCCTGGGATGGGGTAATCCTGGTTATACGTACAAACTGGGAGACGAGACGCTGGAGAGCAGCGCCCCGGAAAGAGATCTGGGGGTCTGGGTTGATGGCCAGTTGAACAGGAGCCAACAGTGTGCCCTGGCAGCCAGAAGGGCCAGCCATGTCCTGGGGTGCATCAAGCCCAGCATCGCCAGCCGGTCGAGGGAGGGGATTGTCCCACCCTACACCGCACTGGTGCAGCCCCACCTCGAGTACTGTATGCGGCTTTGGGCACCTCAGTGTAAGAAGGACATCAAACTACTAGAGTGTGTACAGAGGAGGGCAACCAAGGTGGTGAAAGGCCTTGAGGGCAACACTTATGAGGAGCAACTGAG